CTCTCTTCCTTTCTCTTTGAAGTAGAAAGAATATATATGTATATATATGTGTGTGTGTGTGTGTGTGTGTGTGTGTGTGAAAAATTTCAACTGCACTGAAAAGTTGAAAGAATTGAAAAATGGAAACACTGCTTACCACTTGGAACCTAAAATTAACATTTTGCTGTGCTTTATCCATCCCTTCCCCTCCTCCTCCCCTTTCTCCTCTATCCCTCCCTCTTTCCAGCTAATATTTTAGATGTACTTCAGAATTGCAGGCATCAGCACACTCCATCTGTAAGCACTTCAGCGTGTGTATCATTAACTAGAGTTTGATATATTTCAACATGTTTTTGCAGTGTTCTACTCTGATCAGCTATTAACTCTAGAATTCTTAGCCTTTCCCAACCTAATATTGGTGGTAAAAGTCTGAGATACTGTAAAATCTGAAAGTTCTTTATCTTTTAAACATATTTATTTTATTTTAAGAGCTCATTTTTAAATATGTTTTTATTGATTTTTAGAGAGAGAGGAAGGGAGAGGGATAGAGAGATAGAAACATCAATGAGAGAGGAACATCTTCGATCAGCTGCCTCCTACATGGCCCCTACTGGGGACTGAGCCCACAACCCGGGTATGTGCCCTGACCAGGAATCTAACCGGTGACCTCTTGGTTCCTAGGTCAATTCTCAACTGCTGAGTCACACCAGCCATACACTTTCTAAAGTATATGATTGTCTAATCACTATGCTGTACACCTGAAATTAATATAAAATAATGTTGAATATAAACTGTAATTGAAAAAATAAAAATTTTTTAAAAAGGGAGTCAAATTGATGCTTAGCAGACAAGTACTCCTTGAAGCCCTTTAAATCTGCTCTGGCTTTCCTCCTTTGACATGTAAGTACTTTTAATTTTCCATAGAGTTGTAGAAGAAGAATAATTACATTCATGAGTATGAGTATTTATTAAATGAAAGGTGACTAAAAATAGTAACACTTTCTCAGTGTGTGCTTAGTGAACTTTTCTGGAACAGAGGCAACAATTGAAACTACTTTTAAATAATGGTTCTTGAGCTTTTGAAGTGAACCTGTTATATTACTTCTTTTTTAAGATTTTTTTATTGATTTTTAGAGAGAGAAACATCAATATGATAGTAAAACATCAATCAGCTGCCTCCTGCATGCCCCCTCCCTGGGATCAAGCCCACAACCTGGGTATGTGCCCTGATCGAGAATTGAGCCAGCAACCTTTTGGTCCATAGGACAACACCCAACCAACTGAGCCACATTGGCCAGGGCTGACCTCTCCTTTTTCATAAACGATGTCTCTTTTGTTGTTGCTGTTAACCCTTACCAGAGGATATTTCTTCCATTGATTTTTAGAGAGTGTGGAAGGGAGGGAGGGAATGAGGGAGGGAGGAGAGAGAGAGAGAGAGAGATGGATGGGAGAGAAACATATCGATTGGTTGCCTTCTGCATGCGCTGTGACCCAGCCAGGGATCAAACCTACAACCCAAGTATGTGCCTTTGACTGGGAATTGAACGCAAGACCCTTTAGTTCACAGACTAACGCTATAATCACTGAGCCCAAATCAGCCAAGGCAACAATGTTTTATAACAAGATAAGTTTGTAAAAAGTTACTATATTAATTTAACTGTGATTGAAATTTTAATCAGTTATGTTTTCTTATTTTTAAAACTTACCCCTTTTTTCCAGAAGTATAGCTTTGAATTTTAAAAAAAATATTTTTCAAATATTATTAAAAAATAAAATTTAGATTTATTATCATTCAGCTATGACAAAGCCAACAGATCAGGAGAGGACTGCCACTGAGAAGACAGAAGCAGGAGGCAGGGCACACCATGCAGGGCCACTCAGGGAGGCACAAGGGTCAGTCAGGAGGCAGAGGGAGCCAGGGGAAAATGCAGGCAAGTACTTCTACTGTGGTTTCTGAACGAAGGAATGGGCAAGGCAGGGTAAGCAGGCCTGTGTTGGGCTAGTTTGAATAATTTCAGCCTGCTTTGGGGCATAGGGGTGGCCTGTGGTGATCAGGACACATAGTAGCCCTGAGTGTGAGAGCCTGGTAATGGAGAGGTGGTGGGTTTGTAGGTTCTGGATTCACTGATTTGCACATGAAAGATGCACTAATAGGTGAGTCCTTCACTATCTCTAGGAATTAGCTAGGCCTGGGAGGGACAGGCCCTCGAGAGTCAGCCAGGACCTCGCTGTCAAAGCATCAGAAACCCAGGTTTCATAAAGCTTCTCATCGGCTGAGTACTCCCAGCCACCTGCTCACCCTCTCTGACCCTCATCCATAAAACATGATTCTTCACAAAACCTGCCCTTCATGGGTGGTACAAGACTCAGTGAGCTAATCCATATGCTTCTCAGCCCAATAAAGGGCACAGATTGAGACAAACAAATGTAGCCTCTGCAGTGACCCAGGGAGATGGACCATAGCTCAGAGAGGTTAGGGCTCTGGCCGAGGTCACTCGGCAAGAACAATTAGATCAAATCCCTGGTGACCTCTGGAATCCCTGAGAAGAGGTGCCAGGCTCCCCAGCAGCTACCTGCTCCCAAAGAGTCACTGAAGCCCAGGGACCAGGGTGGGCGATGCCTGCAGCCCAGAACTGCCTCTACCTGCCCTCCCTACCTAGGCTCCTGGAAGCCGACTCCAAATCAATGCGCTCCATGAATGGCTCCCGGCGGAACAGCGGCTCCTCTCTCGTATCCAGCTCCTCCGCCTCCTCTAACCTGAGCCACCTGGAGGAGGACACATGGATCCTATGGGGCCGAATCGCCAATGAGTGGGAAGAGTGGCGGCGTAGGAAGGAAAAGCTGCTTAAGGTGGCAGGGATGGTGGAGGTGGGTGGGCGGTGGGAGGGCCAGCAGGGACAGACAGCAGGTCACACTCCACCAGCACCAGGGCCCCAGCACCGGCAAAGGGACAGAAGTGTAGTTGTGCAGGCACTTTCAGGGGGCCTTGCCAGGGCAGGGGGAGGGAGGGAAGAGAGTGTGAATGGGGCTGGCCAGGTAAGTAGCTGTCACACTGATGTCTCAGGCACCTATTTGTTTCCTGCCCCACTATGTTCTGTGACAAACTGGGGGAAGTACATTAAGCAGTGTGGACTCCGTCTGCAGTGCAAAGGCTCTGCAGAGCTCTGAACCACATCATGGCATAGGCAAGCCCCATCTTGGGGGCTAGACTAGGTAACCCTGGGGAGACCGCACTGGGACAGCATCCAGTCTGGCCTCCTGCTGCCCACCCTGTCCCCAGGAGCTTATCCACAAGGGCATCCCGCACCACTTCCGGGCCATTGTGTGGCAGCTCCTGTGCAGCGCTACAAACATGCCAGTCAAGAACCAGTACTCAGAGCTGCTCAAGATGTCCTCGCCGTGCGAGAAGCTGATCCGCAGGGACATCGCCCGCACCTACCCCGAGCACGAGTTCTTCAAGGGCCAGGACAGCCTAGGCCAGGAGGTCCTCTTCAATGTCATGAAGGTGAGGCCCCCACTGCTGAGGACCCCCCAACCCTACATGAAGAAGCACTGTCCACATTGGCCTGCTGTCACTGAGCCTGGCAGGACGCTGCCCTGACACTCACGTTCCCTTACAGGCATACTCTCTGGTGGACCGGGAGGTGGGCTACTGCCAGGGCAGTGCCTTCATCGTGGGCCTGCTCCTGATGCAGGTAGGTGGCCTGGGGCCAGGCTATGGCAGGACCCAGCCCATCTAAGCTGTGCTTCCAGGAGGTGGACAAAGCAGAATGTAACCCCCTATCCAGTGCTCCACTGTCAGAGCCCACCCCTGCGTCCCACTGTGACCTCTGAGAGTCCCCAGGCCAAGCCCCAGTGGGTGAGCACAGAGGGGCTGGCTGCCTGTTCTGTCCACTGTACTGTCCAGGGTCTAGAGGGGAAGGCTGTCCTCCTCGGTCACCTCCCAGGGTTGGACAGGGAATCCCAACAGGGAGCTTAAGTTAGCCAGTGTGGAGTTCGTGGGGCTGGGGTTTTGTCCAGAGAATTCAGCAGGCTTAGGAAGAGGAGAACAGAGACACTGAGAGTGGACCAGCTGGTGTCCCAACCATGGGCTCTGGAGGTGGCCAGACCTGGGGATCAAGTACCTGCCAGGTGGCCTTTGGTAGGTGACTTCAGTCTCAGGAGGTTTTCCATCAGTAAACAAGAGTGACCAGAGGTTCATTGTGAGAGTTCAGACAACCCACACAGTCCACGTTCATTAAACTTAAATAGAGCAGAAACAGGCCTAGCACAGTATTCCAGGTCCAAAAGAAGAGCAGTAAGCGTCCCCTTCCCACCCTGCCCACACTCAGCCCCCTGCCCACCTGCCCATCCCTCAGATGCCGGAGGAAGAGGCTTTCTGTGTGTTTGTGCGGCTGATGCAGGAGTATCGCCTTCGGGAGCTCTTCAAGCCCAGCATGGCTGAGCTGGGGCTCTGCATCTACCAGTTTGAGTACATGCTGCAGGTGAGTAGGGCCGGGGTGGCCCATCACCACCCACTCCTCTGCAGCCCACAGCCATCCCAGTGGGTCTATTTAACTGAAAATTCCAGGGCTGAGAAATCATATCCAGAGGTCCCAGCTCAGAAAGGGGCTCTAGTCCCCAGGGAGCCATGTGGCATTGCCCCCAAGCACACTTCCAGGGATAGGACAGAGCCAGGCATTTATAGTGGGGGCTCCTGAGAGCTCTGGGCTTCCAGAGTCCAAGGGCAGAGGGGTCAAGGTAGCTTTTGCCAGACACACCCATAACGCCCTCACTGTCTGCTCCCAGCGTGATATGGCAGAAGGAGGGAAAGTGTTGTCTGCCTGCCTTTGATGATTACAGGAGAGCCGCAGACCTTTCTGTTTATAAATAGCAGTCCCCACAGGGCACAGGGGCCACTCTTGGCTGGCAGACACTTTCCCTGTGCATACAAGAGAAGAACACACAGACACACACACACGCGCACGCACACACACACACACACACACACACACACACACACACACGGCCTGCTCCAGAAGTCTGTCACAGGTGGGGCTGTGAAACTGCACAGCAGGTGGGGGTGAGGGTTGAAGGGGAAATGGGAGGTAGGCCCTGGGATAAGCCTGGTCATAAAAGCCCCATTCCTCAGGCCCGGAAAACCGGGAGGTGCTGTTGGTCAAGAGGACCTGGTAGTGCCAACAAGCAAGGGCCCAGGGCCTGCAGAGAAGTGGCCCTGCCCAGGCTGGGTAGCTGAGAGCCCCTATAACAGAGTAGCCAGACAGTGCCAGGGAGCTCCTGGGTCTGCAAGGAAGCCTAGGGCAAGTTGCGGGAAGGGGTACCAGAGGCCCTTCTTCCAGTAAATGACATCAAGGGCGTCCTAATACTTTCTCCAGCTTATTTCCCCAGTTTCTGTCACTTTTCAGCAATCTGAAGTTCAGGCCAATCAGACCGGCATCCCCTGAGCATTGCTGGGCACAGAGCATCATGAGGGGGCAGTGGGGAGACACAACGACTGGCAAGTCAAGGAATACAGGTTGACCAGCAGTAGGTTTACACTGTGCCCCAACGCTCACTCTCTGAGTGACCGTGAGCAGTTAAGTAAACCCACCCCAAGCCTCAGAAGCTCCCTGTCAGGCTGATCATGAGGATCCTATGAGCAAAAAGGAGAGCAGATGGGCCACTTCCTACCCAAGGTGCACATCCTGCACCCATGAGCTGCTGCTATTCCTGTCACCCCTGCCTGTGTCCCCACCTCATGCTACTCAGAGTTCTGGAATATTTCAGCCTCACCCAAACACAGTGCTGAGGGCACACAGAGGAAGGGACCCAAGGGCAGACCAGAGAAGGCTTCCTGGAGGCAGAAGCACCGAGACAGCACTTCCAGGTGGAAGGAGCCTGTGGGCATGGACAGCTGTGCCTGGTGCCCTCAGGCTCCTTCTCAGTGCTGGGCCTCCTCCTCTGACCCCTCAGGAGCAGCTCCCGGACCTGAACACTCACTTCCGCTCCCAGAGCTTCCACACGTCCATGTACGCCTCGTCCTGGTTCCTCACACTCTTCCTGACCACCTTCCCACTGCCTGTCGCCACTCGTGTCTTCGACATTTTCATGTATGAGGTCAGGACCCCTTCACCCTCTTGCTCTCCCAGAGGCCCCACACTGGAAATAAATTTCAACCAAGGAAGGGCCAGGGTTTGGGGAGGGATCGGAGAAGCACTGTCCCCACTGCCTTTGCAGGGCCTGGAGATCGTGTTCCGGGTAGGCCTCGCCCTGCTGCAGGTGAACCAGGTGGAGCTGATGCAGCTGGACATGGAGGGCATGTCCCAGGTGGGCCAGGGGCCCAGGAAGGGTGGGATTGCCCCCCACCCAGGGTAGGTGAAGTGAGACGCTTGGAGTTCCTGAGCAGCCTGATCCTTTTCTATCCCCTGTGCCCCCTGAGGCCTCCCTGGAGAACCAGGCTGGGCACTAAGGAGCTCCAGGCTCTGCCAGACACAGTCCAGGGCCAGCAGCTTGGCAGTGGGGAGAGAGGAAGGCCCAGGCCCTGGCTCTGGGAGGTTTCACCCCCTGCTTTCTCTTGCCCCCAGCTTTGTGTCCCCCAAAATCTTTGTGGTGAATAATTATACTAGCCAAACCACGGGGCCTTGGGTGTGGTTTTTGGCCTAGGAACTGGGCCAGGTGAGGACAAAGGAGGGAGTGAGGGGTCTGGGCAGCCTCACTGGCCTATCCAACCCTGGCTTCCCTGCTTCTCACTGCCATGTCCCCACCATGCAGGCTCCTGCCCCCTCCCAGTGTCCTCCAGCTGGTACTTCAGAGAAGAATACACAAAGGCCACAGTTGTGTCCACAGACACGAATGTTCATTGTCTGCAGCTGCTAGAGCGGGCCAGCTGGGCTGGGGAGCAGGAGCCAGCCTGGCCCCAACCAATAGCAAGCTGTGTCCACCAGTGGCTCACACTTAACCCTTTATAGAGGCCCCAGGCGAGCAGACCCATGAGGGGTCTTCCCTCCAGGTTGCTCCTGGCTGTCCCAATTCTACAACCTTTTCAGTATCCTCTCACCGCCCTGAGTGCAGCACGCCTCCCCCTTCCTCTAAGAAGGTGCCCTGTGCTCAGACCCTACCTCAACCCACTCCCAGGCCTTTGCCCTCAGGAGCTCCTGCAGCCTGCTTTTCCCCTGCAAACTGAAGTCCTGGCTGCTGGCAGCTTCTCTCCAGATGCCTTCTCACACTCACTCACTTGCTCCACAATGATGGAGCACCCACAACAGGCAGGCCAGGCACTGCACTGGGTACATGGTGACATCCAGGCAGATCTGCTTCTGCCCTCCCTCCCTCCTCCAGGGCAATGAGCACAGCAGGCACAGAGGGGCTCAGGCGCCCCCCTACACACCCTTATAATCAGTGACTGCCTGTGTTCCCACAGTACTTCCAAAAGGTGATACCCCATCAGTTCGACAGCTGCCCAGATAAGCTGATCCTCAAGGCTTACCAGGTCAAGTACAACCCTAAGAAGATGAAGAGGTCAGTACCCAGCAGCCAGGGCGCTGGTGGAAAAGAGGTCCCTGGTGGTGGGATAGTCACCGTGTCAGCCTTCTCCTCTGCAGGCTCGAGAAGGAATACGCAGCCATGAAGAGTAAAGAGATGGAGGAGCAGATCGAAATCAAAGTGAGTTCCTAGGGAAGGGGGACAGGGGCCCTTGGGAGCTTCCATCCCAAGTGGGTGGCCACTAGGGGGCAGCCCTGCCCAGCACATGAGGCACACCAGACTGCCCTTCTGAGGGGTTGACTCTCTGTGTGAGGGAGGGCTCACCTGGAACTGGGGACACAGAGGTGGACAAGGTGGACCTGGCCTTGTGGGGCTCCCATTGCAGTGAGAAGACAGTCAGTGAACTAATTAGTATAGAGTATGAACTCTAGAAAAAACTCTGGATAAAATGTGTAGGGGAGATTGCTGCAGGTCCAGGGAACTGAGTGCTAAAGGCCCAAGCAGCCGCAGGCCTGAGGGGCTAGAGGAACGTCAGGAATGCTGCCCTCAGTGGTGGGAGCCCCGAGGTAGGAGGGGGCCATATGCAGGGAGGATAGGCCAGTGTACTGCACTCATGGCCCCTGGCTCCCCCTGGTGCCTGGCCAGCCAGCCCTACTAGGTTTGGGGGTACAATTCTGTCACCAACTCCAATATGTGAGGTTTTTCCCCACACCACCAAGCAATTTTCCAATGCCAGCTGGGTATCCTACAATTCAGCTCAATTCTGACACCATCTACTTGGAGATGGTGTCAGATCCCACAGGTTAAGGGCATTGTCTCACAAGACTGCCACTCCCCCCTTCAGAAGCCAGTCTCAAGTCCAGATTGTCACCTATTCTTCTGGCCAGCTGGCTGTAGATCATAGGTTCCTGTGATTCCCTTCTCGGGTTCGATTAATTTGCTAGAGTGGCTCACAGAATTCAGAGAAATATTACTACTAGATCACTGGTTTGTTATAAAGGATTTAGCTCAAGAACAGCCAGATGGAAGAGATGCATAGGAACAGGTTTGGGGACAGGGCACAGAGCTCCCTGCCCTTTCCATTTATACCACACTCACAGAACCTCCAACCATTCATCAACCTGGAAGCTCTCCAAACCCATACTGTGGGGTTTTATGGGATTTCATTACACAGGCATGATTGTTTACATAATTTGCCATCAGCAATTTATTCAAACCTCCAACCCATCTCTTCTCCCTAGAGATCTGGGGATAGGACTGAAAGTTCCAACTCTCTGACACATGGTTCGGTTCCCTGGGAACCAGCCCCCATCCTTAGGTGGCCAAGGGACTTTCCAAAAGTCCTCATTAACATAACAAAGGACACCTTTTTCTCTCTCTCCTCACTTAGAAAATTCCCAGGGTGCTCTGTGCAGGACTGCTTGGAAGACCAAATATATATTTTTTACTATAAATCATATCACAAGGGGTTTTTTGAGTGTGCAGAGTCTCTGAACCCAGTCTTCCCTCCTCTCCCCCTGCTTTCATCCCTCCACACATGATTTTAGTTATTCATTCAACAAAAATTTATTGAGCACCTACTTTGTGCCAATCACAGCAGAGAGTGAGGGTCCTCAGTCCAGTGGGGGTAGGGGGACAGACATAAACACAAACCCCAACACAGCCTGGCTCTGTCCTCTGTCTAAAGACTGGCAGACTACCACAGTGGCTGAGACTGGAGTCCCGCAGACCAGGGTTCAAATGCCAGCTCTACCACAGACCAGCTGTGTGCCCCGGGAAAATGAATTCACCTCTCTGATCCTCTCAGTGTCCCCGTCTGCAAAATGGAAATGATACTTACTCTACTGTTCAATTTATTATTATCACCACCACCACCACTATCATCATCATCCCCTCATCCCCACGTCCTCTAGAAGGCAAAGGCAAAACCTAGATTAGAATCCAGTCCTGCCACCCATTCCTGAGTGGGAAAGAGAGCATCATTGTTCTGTCCCTGGTTGTAGGATTTCCAGAAATAGTTTTGTGTCTTGAATTTTTTAGCATCTCTGTTTCTCAGAAGTGGCACCCTGACTGATGCACTAGTCCAAGCTGTGTGTGTGTGTGTATGTGTGTGTGTGTGTATGTGTGTGTGTGTGTGTGTGTGTGTGTGTGGTGTCTTACTCATACACAGACAAGGCCTGCTCCCATCTGGTGACTATGAGGGCTCAGCATTAGGTAGGTATACAGCAGACCATTGGACCACATGTTCTTGGAAATTTCCCATGAGAGGAGGTATTAAAGGATTCAGGCAGGTGCCTTCTCTCTTAGCCCTGTCCTTTTCTCTTTCACCTTTAGCCTGTTTTAAAATATACCTGGGATTTGTTTTAACTGCCTTTGAAAGAAGAGTTTATTACAGTTTCAAAGAGGCAGGGCACACCAGGCCATGAAAGGCCATATGGGGAAGCATCAGGGTTGATCAGGAGGCAGAGAGATCAAGGGGGAAAATAGGGGCCAGAGGCTTTATTGTGGTTTTCAAGCAAAGGAATGGGCAAAGCAGGGTGGGCAAGTTTGAGCAAGTTTAGGATTGACTAGTTTGAATAATTTCAGGGGCTATAGGAGTGGTCCCTAGCTGTCCTGTGACAATTTCGGGAGGGAAATATTGGCTTATATGTGAGAATTAGATAAGAAAGGTGTGTGTGTGGAGAGGTGGGAAGGGGGCACACTGTGGATTGGCTGGTTTGCCTTGTCAAGCAGGTTGTTTACTATCTGTAGGAATTAGCTAAATCCTGGGAGGGGCAGTCTCTCCAGGATTAGCAAGGCCTCAGGATGTCCAAGCATCAAAAATACAGAAAAAAAAAAATGTTAAGCTCTTACTAGTACATAGCCCCCCAAGTTTTTGCACTCGCTCTCTCTCTCTCTCTCTCTCTCTCTCTCACACACACACACACACACACACACACACACACATACACTTTCCCTTTGGAGTAAGCAGGAGAGAGGTGAGTTGTCTGCAGGGCACATTCAGCTCCTCCAAGGATGGCTGTGTTTATGCCAAAGAAATCCAAAGGTCATGGATCAAGACTCTGGGTTCCAGATCACTTTGAGGGACAGAGACCTGCCCTCTGAAACAGCTTGGGAGGCTCAGGCAAAACACTGCCTCATTCCAACTCAGTTTCCCCATCCATCATATAAATCAAAGGTCATCAATCAAATCTGCCATCTCTCCGAGCAGTTGCTTCATAGGAAAACCTAAAACCACAAATATCTGACCAGAATCCACGAGCACAGGATGGAAGACAAAAGCAAGGGAGATGGCCTTCCCCCTGGCTGGGGGGAAGTAACGATTGTTGGGCACAGCTAGCTGGCTGTCAGTGGGTCACAAAGATGTAGTTGTCGAGCTGAAGGAAGTATGGGTGTTCAGCAAGATCTCCTACCCTGGACCCAAATTCTGAGAGGAGTTTGTCAACTGAAAATTGAACTCTGAGGCTGGAAGCAAAGCAGTGAAGGATGGGGCCTGTCTGATAGCAGCTTCCCCCAAAATGCAGAAGCCTTTGCCCTGTGGGAAGTGGACAGGCCTGAGCATGGAGTACTAGCAGATTCCCAAGGAGGGCATGGGTACAGACCACCCAGCTCACACACATTGTGTAACCACAAAAGTGCTCGCATTATTTTTACTGAACTAAGGCTTATTTAAAAAAAAAATCTGCCCAACTGGCATGGCTCAGTGGTTGAGCATCAACCTATGAACCAGGAGGTTACAGTTCGATTCCTAGTTAGGGCACATGCCCAGGTTGTGGACTCAATCCCCATTGCGGGAGCGTGCAGGAGACAGCCAATCAGTGATTCTCTCTCATCATTGATGTTTCTATCTCTCTCTCCCTCTCCCTTTCTGAATCAGTAAAAATATATTTTTTAAAAAATTTAATGGGCCGTTCTGAATGGGAATTGGCCCTGTTTTTTGGGATCACTGACCCAAAATGTAAGCCTCTAGCTCTGTCCTTCTAGGAGTTGGCCTGGCCCCTTGGGGGATAGACCTCTGTATAGAAGTGGAAGGCAGGATCTGATATGCTCTCCCCTCTCCCCACATAGAGGCTTCGAACAGAGAACCGACTTCTGAAACAGCGGATTGAGACCCTGGAGAAGGTGAGGGGTATGCCACCTGCCTGTCAGACACTGAACTCTCCAGGCTCCAAGCAGGACCCAACAGCCAGAGGGCCAGCAAGCCTCCTGCCCTAGGCCTTACCATGAACCCCACTGATATTTGAGCTGCCATATAATTTGACCGTGGGGAAAATTAGCTTGGAGCTGGAGGTTGAGTGATAACCTAGTTAAGTGCAATCACCACAACCCATTTGTGTCCGGTGCCCTCCAGGGCTGTCTGGGTGGAGAGGAGGAGGTAGAACTGCTATTTTGACTGAGGTGCCTGGAACTGGGCCACAAGACACCCCACCCTGTAATTTGAAAGCCCTGCCCTCAAAAGGAAGGAGATGGGAGTGAAGGAATAGGGGGTGGTCTTGCCACTGGATCCATGATGGGGTGCCACAACCTTGACCATGGCCCCAATCTTGTTTTTAAAAATGAAAGTAGAGTTGGAGGCCCCTCTTTCTGCTCTACCTTCATTTTCACTTGACCCTGCATGGACCACAGGTTGTCCACGGGATTTTATTGCCCTTGCCCCAAAGCCTCCATTCTTGTTCAGCCTCCAAATCAAAGTTGCTGAGTTTTCCCAGTTGGCCTTAGTTGGCCCCAGTCATGAGCCCAGCTGACTTCCCACTCAGCTCACATACAGACCCCTCTCCTGGAAGGAACTGGCTTTGGCTTTGGTCTTCCTCCAGGTCCTGTCATGCTGGTTTTCTGGTTCTCAGGTTTCACTCCTGTCTCCCCTGCTTCTAGACATAGTTCACTGTGTTAGTGACAAGTGGTTCTTGTCTGTCTCTCCCCCTCTCCTGTCCCGCACCTTCTGCTCTGCCTCCTCCCCCTGTTGCTGGGAACTCCCTCGCCGGGTAGGAGAGTGCTGCTCTGGCTGATAGGTTAATCCAGGTACTGTAGCTTTTCTTCTGACTCTCCTGTTTCCTTCCTAGTCTCTACACATGACAGCCAATACTTCCTCCTCCCTGGTTGCTGCCATGGGTGAGGGGGACAGGCCTGGCACCATGCATGGGGGTGGCTGGGGACTGCTTCTCAGGAAAACAGAGGTTCCATCTAGAGGAGGTGGCTGTGCGTGTGCAAACGTGGCAACTGAGGGTATGTCTCTGTGTCTGTGAGTGTGTGTACACACACAGGGACACAAAGTTTCCTCCCTCCAGGAGATACAGGTGAGGACCTAGGAGGGCTCAGGGAACCTGAGGGTGCATCAACAGCAGGCCTTAGTGTGTGCATTGCTGAGCCTCCCGCACCCACACATATACACCATCCCTTCTGGCCTTTCACACTCTCTGCTTCCACCTGCAAGGCCTGCCGTCTTCTCTCATTCACCTGCTTCTGCTGCTGCCTTATCTTGAATGGCTTTATCTGGAAGCTTCTGCCTGCCACCTGGTGGCTCCAAGCATGGAATGGGGGGGGACCCACATTGGATGGGGTGAGGGGATGAGGCTGGGTGGGGTAGATAAGAACTGAGGAAGGCCAGGGGAAAGGCATATTCCACCTCCCAACCCTGCCCTGGGGAGCCAGGCCTCAGCTGCCCCACCCTCACCAGCAGAGCCTGAGCTCTGGTGTGCCATCACCCTGGATAAGGACTTGCTTCTCCTCCCCTGGGACAGAGGTCAACAGCCAGAAGTCAGGAGGGGACAAAGCTGTCAGCAGCCCCAGCCTGTGGCTCCGTCTTCATTTAAGCACCACAGAGCTTGGACCCCAGGTTGAGAACCGGTGTCTTCCTCCAGGGTCCGCCTGGTGTCCTGTACCTGCCTACCCCTCACCCTTGTTCCGAGGTCCCGTGGGCGCCCCATCCCAGACTCTGAGTGAAGGAGGCCTCACCCCTCTCCCACTATTCCTCTGCCCTCCTTGGGACTCCTCTAAGGTGGGCCTGAGGCAGGGCCTGGCGTGTGACCAGAGGGTCATGCCCTATCCTCCATCGGCTCAGGGACAGGTGACACGGGCGCAGGAGGCCGAGGAAAATTATGTCATCAAGCGGGAGCTGGCGGTGGTGCGGCAGCAGTGCAGCTCAGCAGCAGAAGACCTGCAGAAAGCGCAGAGCACCATCCGGCAGCTGCAGGAGCAGCAGGTACCAGCAGGCCACCGTGGTGAGGCCACACTCCAACCCTCCGCTTGGGTGGGGAGAGCACCCAGAGCTCAGTGCATACTCTCCCCCAGCCCCTCAACAATCAATCCCTGTCCTGAGGGAGAATACGGTTTCCATGTTCCACCACCCTCGGGGGTGCTTGGCAGGGCCCTCTTCCTGGCACAGGCATTCAACCTTGACTGATGGGCCTGTGATTCCTTGGTGTCTCCCCAAGGTCTTTGGAGATATTGGGCTTCCCCAGGGGTCAACCATGAAGGTTAGGAGCTAGGATGAGGGACAAGGGAGGGGGCTCCCTTCTCCAGTACCCAGGACTTTGCCCTCTCAGAGGAGAGTCTGGTCTATGCCCACTACACTGAACTGGCAGGGTTGGCATGAGTGGGCAGTGCAAGTCTGTTATGGGGTCTTGAACTCAGTGGTGGGAAGGACTCAGAGGCTAGAGCACTGTGCAAAGATCTGCAGAACCTTCCTTCAGATTTACCCAGCAGGCTTCTTCCTTATCTATTGACCTGCCAACGGCTGCAGCCCCCAAGTTCAGAATGCACATGTGCACACATGCCCTGGACGGACAGAGAAAGATGCTGTAGGTTCCCTGAGCCCCTACACTACAATCCAGACCTGATCCCAACAAAGCCTGGCAGTGAAGTGGGCTCCCTGATTTGGAGAAACCTCAGGTGTCAAGAAACAATGGGTGGAGAGAAGGAGGGGTAGTTCCCTGGGAGGACCTCTCACCCAGGCCTGGAGACCTCGGCTCAGGCTTTAGTTCAGGAATTTAAGTTGATTCTTTGTCCCTGGAGACAGGGACAGGGAGCTTCGCCATTTCTCACCTGTGTCCACCTCCCACCCCTCACCTGCCAGTGCTGTGGCCCCCAACTTGCTCTGAAGCAGCTGGGCCAATGGGGAAACTGAGACTGGACTCATCCCACCACTGGCATGATGCCCTCTTTCAGGCTAAAGAGACACCTGCCACTCCTGAACTCTGACCTTTAGGGGATGCAGAGATGGGTGAGGCAGGTAGTGCCATAGACACTGGCCCTTGAGCACAATCTCCTTGGGTGTGAGCAGAGGGTCAGCCTGGCAGGGCTGGAGCTTAGTATGAGGACTGAAGCCCACCTGGGCCAAGGGAGGGCCACTGGCACCCATGGATGTCAGAGGCCCAAAGTGGTCGAGGGCAGCAAGCAGGCCTGGGTAGCTGGACAGGAGGCCAGTGGAGGGGGGTGGTGGTAGTAGAGGGCAGGGGCCACCCTCCAGAGAATGCCCTGCCAGGCCACCAGGGCAGTGAAATGGGGACCCAGCAAACTCTTTTCCCATCCTTTCCCATTTAGATATGGGGGAAGAGAGAGGAGAGAGGTGAAGAAAGAGGGCCCAGAGTGCCATAGCCCTGAGCCCCACCCTCTCCACACCCACCCCAGCAGTCCTGGGGACCAGCCATTAGCATCCCTCCGGGAGTATCCTGAGACCATGGAAGGTCCCCTTCAGTAGGTTCCCTCTGTGTGACTTTCTCAGGAAGGAGACTAGGCCTGGTCATCAGGGTCCCCATGATAGGGTTACACTCTCCTGCCATGAAGGCAGAAGGCACAGGAAGAGGATCCAGTTTTTCTCCTGATTTTTTACTCTACCCACAGCCTGAGCCCCCTCCCAGCCCTGGGGCTCTGGAGAGTAGGAGGCAAGTCCTGAGCTCACAGCCAGCTGGCAGGAAGGCTGCCCACCCTTCAGCTACAGCCTGGGAACTGATGCAGCTCTCCCTCTGTCCCCAGGGCAACCCTCGCCTCACCGAGGACTTTGTGGCCCACCTGGAGACTGAGCTGGAACAGTCAAGGCTGCGGGAGATGGAGACACTAGGGGCCCTACGGGAGATGCAGGACAAGGTTCTAGACATGGAGAAGGTGCAGCTGGGCAATCCGGTGTTTGGGAGGCTCTGGGGGAGGGAAGGTGGGGTGATGCATGCCCTTAAGGAGGTACATAATCAGTCCTGAACAAGGAAAAGGGGCTACCAGGGGAACCATGGGGAGTGTCCTGGGATCAGATCCTCCTGCTTCAGCAGTCCCAGGGAGCCCAAGATTGCTTCCCGCATGGTCTCTACGGGAGGGTCTGGGCAGATAGGAAGTGGGCCGCTCACCCCTAGGACCTTCCCAAGTCCTATAGGCACACACACACACATTAGGGCACGCCCACCATCATGCACCAGGTAGAGAAAGCAGTGTACTGGCTTTCATGGGCTTCCTGGACAGTCTGTCCTACCTGTGTGTCTCTCCATCCCACCCCACCCCACCC